AAATAAAAAATTTCCTAACAATATTTCAACTGCCACATGTCGTCATCTTAAAAGGACATGCTAGTAAGGACTTCTTCCTGTTTCTCTTCTTTTTTCTCCCCACCAAAACTAGCATGCTCTAACTTGACATGAGATGTCCATTGCTTTTTAGAAGGAAAATACTGCTTCTTGAGTTGGTACAAGAGTGAGTTAAAAATGTCAAAAAGGATACACAGTCTATCACTGCTACTATGGAAGTACATGAGAAGAACCTGAAGGTAGTTTCCATATTCGTACACTTAATTACCCATATCTCGGACGTGCAATGCAAGTTCTAGAGCTCTACCCATAAGATCGAACTTTACCTACTGAACTGGGAGTCGCATTATGCCAAAACATCCTCAAGAACCACTCAGTGGTTATTGCTTCCCAATTCAGATTGGAATTAAGCAATCGAAAGTATTCCTAACCATAAATTGTTGAAACAAACCAGGGGAGAAACTTGCGTACCATGAACCCAGTTATATTTTGAAGGAAGACAAGAGGTATGTTACGCTGAGAACAGAGTTCAATAAAATGGGCCCCCTTTAAAGCAGATTCGTTGAAGAGTATCCCATTGTTCCCAATAATTCCCACAGGTTGCCCAAATATCCGGGCAAATCCTGTCACGAGAGTCTGAAAAGAATGGAACAAGGTCAAGCAAGCTCAGAGGCACACAGCAGGAAAAAGAAAAAGAATCCCCAAAATGATTCAGTTACAAAAGTATCCTCACAGTGCCGTAGAGTTTTTTGAATTCATCAAATTCGCTGCCATCTACAATGCGAGCAATAACAGATCGAATATCAAAGGCCTGCTTGTGGTCTGTTGGTGCAATAGAACGAAGCTCCTTGACATCATATAATGGCTCTTTAATCTCAGAACCGACATTTTGGAACCTAGCCAAAGTTCCCAGTTTCCCAGCAGTGTGCAAATTTTTAATGATGTTCCTTCCAAGAGCAAGACCATGCAGCTCATCTACAAAATGGGAAATAGAAAATGTAACTTATGGCAGCAAAAGAAGACACTCCAACCTCTCGTGCGCGCTCGCGCGCAAGAGAGAGAGAGAGAGAGAGAGAGAAAGAGAGAGTATTTTCTTCAATAATTCATTTGAGTAGAAAAATTCATCACAGAATACACTTTTACATATATGCTGAAGCCAATTCTAAAACAATAAAAACTCAAGTATCCATTTTGGAAAGCTTAAATTTCATGAATCGCAGGGAGAACAACAATATATAAGCAGAGAGCGCAAAAACCATCGGAGAAATCACAGGAGGTACATCTGAAACAGAGTGCGCAGAAAAGATGAACTATATACCTTGTGCAAAATAATCTGAAACACCTGAAGTCTTGCAATGCACTGCCGCACCCCCTAAATCCTCTGCAGAAACTTCTTCTCCCGTAGCAGCCTACTGAAACTCCTCTTTCATAATATGTCCAGGTTTAAAACTGACATCCTCAAGCACTAAACACTAAAAAGTGCATAAAGTAGACCATTTACGTACTCATGCCTAATGGTGGAAGCATAAAAATGGAAAACTTAATGCTAACACACATGAACACCCAACTTACTAAAACCTACAACTAACCTTTACAAGTGGTGGCCCAGCAAGAAATATAGTGCCATTTCCCTTGACCATTAAACTTTCGTCAGCCATGGCAGGAATATAGGCACCCCCTGCAGTGCAAGAGCCTAATACCAGTGCAATTTGAGGAATGCCTTCGGATGACATCACAGCTTGATTGTAGAATATCCTACCAAAATTATCCCTGTCAGGGAAAACATCAGCTTGTTTCGGGAGGAAAGCGCCACCACTATCAACAAGGTATACACATGGCAGTTTGCATTGGGCAGCAATCTCTTGTGCCCTGAGATGCTTCTTGACAGTGATTGGAAAATACGTTCCCCCTTTAACAGTAGGATCATTAGCCATGAACATACAAAGCTGCCCATGAACAGGACCTATTCCAGTGACTATGCCAGCAGATGGCAAGGGATCTTCATACAGTTCGTGGCCTGCAAGCTTTTCCCATAAGATGCAGAATAAGAAGTTGAGAAATAAGACAAAAGATTGGTGTGCAAACTGAATCTCAAGAGAAGTACAAGATAAAAGAAACTTCTGATTCCCAGAATTTTTTTTCTTTCCAAACCACAGAACTAGCTGCCGTTACGACAACGGCGCGTGATCATGCAGTAGCCTAATGTGCATCTGATACAATCTCGATCTGGGGTCGGTTCCAATTGCTGCTGGTTCGATTTTGTTCAAGAAGCGACTTTGACTAGAGTATCTAAAAGAATGCGCACCGACAACGTATCAACTCCGTCGTAAACATTCCTCGCTTGATATGAATTCAAAACCATAGGCTCAGGATAAGCAACAGACCATCAACATTTCGCAATGACATGAATTGACTCGAAGACGAACCGACAGCCCCGATACGAAAAACCGGAAAACGCTGCGCGAGACCAAGAGGAAAATCAGAGTCTCCGAACCTGCGAGAGCTCGAGGAAAGAAGAGCCGGGGTCGATGAGACGATCGATCCTTTCCCGAGGGAGCAGCTTGTTCCTGCTCCTGTTCCTCCTCACGGCTTCCGCTCCTCCCCCGCCGAGCACCTTCGATTCCAACCATCAAACCACGCAAACCACAAAACTCCTCAAACACCACAGAAAAACCACTCGAGCGCGCGCGCAATCACGACGACGATACACGACTGTCGACCTCGTACCTTTTGGATACGAGACTGGAGCTGCGAGACGAGGTCCCCCATGGCTCCGGAGTTGCGGGCGTACTCGTCGGAGCCGCGATCGACGCCGTCGGGAAGCACTCCCGAGCAGAACCCCCGCCGCCGCCGTCCTCCTCCTCCTCGTCCTCGCGGCGGAGGCGGGACCGGATCGCGGCCGGAGGAGGCGGAAACCGCTCGCCGCGCGAGAGCCCTGAGCATTGCGATTGCCGATCGTCGTTCTCCGGATCGAGAGCTGGAGCAAGTTCGTCGCTCGAGGTCGCGGACGTTGCTTGCTGTGCTCGAGGATTTTTGGCAATGGCGAGGGGATCGATTATTTATAGGAGAGCGTTGGCGGAGGAGGAGCTTGAGCTTGAGCTTGTGTGGAGTTCATATCCGCCCGCTCAGCTCGCCACGTTGGAGTTTCGTCCACACTTGACTTACAGGATAATTTTATTTTTATTTTTTTAATTGACTCAATTTTGCGGTAGGCCCGCTCGGAGGTGAGCGGTTCCAAGTTGGTCTAGATTCTATTTGGAACCTGAAACTTATCCCTGTCGAGATCGGTTCCCATTCCTACTGTCAGCTGTGGTCCGTTCCATACCGAGCCTCGCGATTTTGTACTTTGACTTTCATATAGGCACCTTCCCAATAGATCACCATCCTAGCAATGCTTGTCAAAAGGCGCCTCTACGAGTTAATTTTAGTTTTCACATATTTATTTCAGAATCGCCCTCCTCATATACGGTTCACATTTTGGTTCATTCATGTCCTTTTTGCCGTCCTAGAAGCGGAGCGCTCCTTGTCTAGGCCCTTGAGCCCCGACCATCACTGCCCGTCCTCATTGAATCGGGTCGGTACACCTACGATTCCAAGAACTACCAGGCAACCAGCCAACTCCTTTTTTTTTCATTTCTTTAATTTCTTCATTTTTAGAAAAGCAAAATGAAAATTAAAGTAACAACAAAAAAAAATTTTAGATGGATAGAGTTTCATCAACAAGAGTACCTATCCAAAACAGAACCATTTATAAATGAAGTAATCTGTCAAACCTAACAAGAAAAAGGTTGTATTGTGTTGTCACGTAGAGTAAATGAAAGAGGTTGATCCAAGAGTAAACTATAGAAACACGTGTAAAAGAGTAGAGGTTTCTAAAGTGCGTAGTGTACTGAATTTCTTCTGCAATGAATATACATATTTGTTGCAGGTGAATTATAATGGGTACATATCCTCTACCTGCACTAGAGCAAGTTTAAAACTAATCCTAGTAATAGAAGACCATAACGCATAACATTAGTAATGAAAATGATGTTCTGAATTTTGAAAGTTTGATATTTTTTTTTGGTCTGAAAGTTTGATATTGCTAGTATAAAAATTGGTGAAAAGATCCATAGGTACTACTAATTGGAAATAGTCACCCAAGATGCCGGCTAGCATTGCAATAGCTATTTCAGTTCTAACCATTTATTGTGGTCCGGCCAAGCAGTTTTTTGCAGATGGAAAATGTAACACTAACAATGCAATACTGAAAACAACAAGCATTTGACATTTTCATAAAATATGGTAAATCTATTATATTATATATCAATTATTGCAAATGATGGGGGTGAGCATTGGAACCAGACCAAATTCAGCCGATTTTGGGCGATTCCGATTCCTAAAATTTGGAACTAGTGATTGTTGGCTTGATTCCCGATTTCAGTTGTGGGTCGAATCACTCGAACCAGACCGATGCCTTATTTTTATTTGCAAGTTTAGTTACTTCATCATATATTATCACACCTTCGGAGTCTTTTCATTGAGATTTTTATTAATTAAATATCCAAAATATTAAAGAATGAGAGCTTAGACTATGAAAAGAGAACATATCATTGCTGGTTCTTGAACCCACTCGGGAACCATATCGGACCGGTTGGTCGGATTTCAAAATCAGGTGGATCGATTCTCAATTCCACAAATTGGGCATCAACCCTTTTGGTCCGATTCTCGATTCCAGAGTGAAACTGACCCACCCCGAAACAAGTCACTCCTAGAAATTGGTAGGCCCCATGTTGGTCCATCTGGTCCTGCTAATTGTGATAATCCAGATTGATTTTAATACCTACATTAAACTCAGTATTATTTCCTCTTCTTTTTTTTTTTTTCATTTTTTATTGAGCAGTACCCACGCTGCAGAAACTTCAGAATCAGTTCGGATGAGATACTTCCCTCTCCAAAGCGCCGGCGGATGCTCCCTCCCGCAGAGCTCGAGCTCGGCAGCCATGGAGTCTCTGTCGCCGTCCCTCCTCCCTCTGTATCCGTCTCTCAAATTCACGTCCCCTCGCAGACCCTCCTCGATCTCGACGTCCGCGCCTGCGCTGCTCTCTTCTCCGACGCTCGCGTCCGCCACGTCCCCGCGAAGAAAAGCTATCACGCAAGCGCCGCGGGAACGCTCTGCAAGACCCTCCAGGAGGAAGACGCCGTCTCCTCCTCCGCCTCCGACTGTCTTAACGGCGGACGCCGCGGAAGCTCCTCCTCCCGTCGCGGCTAAGAAGGTCCCCTTTGAGATTTTCTCCCCTCCTTTTGTCCTTTCTTTCGTGTAAACTGATGGGAATACAGGGACAAGAGAAGGAGAGGCTGTTTGACATTGAAAGTTGCAGGTTTACCGTTTCCATTTCCATTTGAAGAGGAAAGTTTAGAGAAAAATGGAGAACCCATTTGATGAATTCTCTTGTTTTGTTTGCTGTCCACGTTGTTTGTCTCGGTGAGTGGATAACAACAACAAAAGGTGAAGTTTTGAAAAGATTTTGATGATCCTCCATTATTTCCTAATATGTGGAGGGAAGAGTATAATGGGGAGAATTTGAAATACAATGTCTTTTCGAATGCATTTCTAGCGAAAAAGGTGAAAAATGGTGGGCACAATTTAGATTGGTTGTGACACATATCTTTCAGGAAGATGGAAGTTTTCATCGGTTGGAAAAGATAGTTTGGTCGTAGATATCTGCAGTCTCCTTTAGAGTGCTTATTTGTCTCTTTTTTTTCTTGCTATGTCCTAATACCAATCGGATTTGGCACAGAGGAAATGGAAGCTGTGGTGCTAATTGATGTGCTTCGTCGAGCTGGCGCAAATGTGACAGTGGCTTCTGTGGAGCCACAGCTCCAGATTGAAGCCTCTGGTGGTGTTAAACTTGTCGCTGATGTCTCAATTTCAGACTGCTGTGATGAAGTTTATGATCTAGTGGCTTTGGCGGTACATTTCTTCACATTAATGTGTATTTCCAAAAGTAATAGTATGATGTAAGGAATACGTGGAGCATCCATATGCTGTTCTTAAGCAAGTGATTTTCGCTTAGCTTTTCTTTGATGCTATGATCAAAGTAAGCGAAAGTAGTGATAAAATCACAATAAATAAAAATATAAAAAAAAACTGGGATTTTGCAATCAATCAAGTTGTGGTTTTGTGATAATGAAATTTCTGCTCTTATAGGGAGGAATGCCTGGTTCATCATGGCTAAGGGATTGCGAAATCCTTCAAAAAATCATGAGCAAACATGCTGAGGGAAAGAGTTTATATGGAGCTATATGTGCTACTCCTGCTGTCATACTTCTCCCCTGGGGACTTCTGAAAAGAAAGCAGGTGAGTTGCTATGTCTTGCATTAAATTAGACAAATATACACAAACTGCAACTGGTGATAACATTGTTTTTCATGCTAGACTACTTGTCACCCTGCATTCTTTGACAAGCTCCCCACTTTCTGGGCCGTTAAATCAAATATTCAAGTTTCAGGAGAGCTTACAACTAGCCGTGGTCCTGGAACTACATTCCTTTTTGCTCTGTCCTTAGTGGAGCAGCTCTTTGGTGAGTCTGTCGCTGCGGAAATTGGACAATCCTCGGTAAGGGCCTAGTGCATATTGCGTAAGATTTAATGTTCATCCAAGACTTCCCTAATGAACCGCCTGAAGAATATAGTTCTTAAATTTGATGTCTTCCCTTCCTTTTTTATATATAGCTGATGCACAATGCCGATGATAATCCTAAAAACATAGAGTTCAACAAAGCTGAGTGGGTTGTGGACCATACTCCTCGCGTAAGTGGTATCTCTGAATTTGTGTTCAAGTATTGAGCTCTCCTCTTCACTGTATACCAATGTGTAGGTTTGTTCTTATCAGTTATACTGTCTTCCAAATTCACTGCTATGACCTCTTATCTTCTAAAGCTATAGGATCATATCATGTCATACTTCCTAAAGCGGTACTATCAAAGAAAAATGAAGTACTCATTACCCGAGAGAAAGGGGAAGTAGCAGACTTCTTGTATCTATATTTCATCTGTTGCTTATGCTTGTTCTAATTGTAAAGTCTTGCTCATTCAGATTTGTTCATAACCAGATATACTTTATAACACTGTTGAAATAGATCCTCACCTGGCAATAGAGTACTTCTCATCACCTATCTCATAGTTTTGTGAAAAAAAGTGGCATTGAACCAATCTTGTCAATATAAGGTTAAACTTGAATTGAGTCCTTGATTGAGGTGATGATGCTAACAATCTCTATATTGCCCTCCCTACCCCTTTTCCTCTCTAAGTCATTTCATAAATAGGAAGAAAAATACATACTATGGGATATAGAAGAAAAGGTTTCCAGTAACAAAATAACGGGTAAGAAATTGGTTGTCCCAGGTTTAAAGTGGGACAATGGGAATGTATGGAGGCCTTGATTGCAGTTGTAGGATATGTAGTGTAATTTGAACTATAGAAAGTGCAGTGACGAAGCCAGAATTCTAATAAAGGGGGGAAGAAATGTTCAATGTACTTAACTTAAAGATTTAATTTACATTTGATATTAAAACATGTAGAAAAGAGCACTCCGCAGGTATAAATATTGATATTATCACATGTAGAAAAGAGCACTCCGCAGGTATAAATATTGAAACAATAAATAATGTGTTAGTTGTGGAATGACGAAGAAATCCGACGTGAAATCAAGGGGTTGGGCTCAACCAACCCCTTGAACTGTACCACTCAGATCCAAAGAAGCTTATGTAAACGTCTTTTGGGCCTATTATGACGAGTTGCAAAGGCCAGAGGGGGGGGACAATCCCTGTTTTCCCTTCCCTGGCTCCATGGCTGAGAAAGTGGGTTATTGGATTATATCTGCATATGTGAATTGAGGGGTGAAGAACACTAGAAATGTCAAAACTTGTGTACGGCGCTCACTTTAGTGCCAAAAGTTTGTTTCGGATCACTTAAGTGCCAAAATCGGAGAAAAACGATCACTTAAGTGCCAATGGCGAGAAATTCCGGCCAAATTAATACGTGGCTTTTTTAATTAAAATTTAATCTACGTGGCATTTCCACGTGTATATTTCGAATTTCTCAGTTCTACGTGGCATTTCCAAGTGTAAATTTCGAATTTTTAATTATTTTTTTGATTTTTTTTTTTTTTTTTTTTTTTCTGTTTTTTCTTCTACTTCTTTGTTTGGCCGGTGACAGGACACCGGCCACCGGCCATGGCCGGCCACCTGGCCTCGCCCGGACGAGGCCGCCGTCGCCCGCCACGGGCGAGGCTTGGCCGACCTTCGCCTGAGCGAGGGCGGGTGAGCCCCGGCGAGGGTTGGCCTCGCCTTGCTTGGGCAAGGGCAAGCCCGGGGAGGCGAGGCCGGCCCTCGCCAGATCCGGCGAGGCCGGCCCTTGCCTAGGCCACGGCGGCCTTGCCGGGGTCGCCTTCCCTCGGGCGACGCCGGCGAGGCCGCCGTGGCCCGGGCGAGGCCAGCCTCGCCAGATCGGCGAGGGCTGGCCTCGCCCGAGCCACGGCGGCCTCGCCGGGGTCGCGTTTCCCGGGCGACGCCCGCCGAGGCCGCCGTGGCCCGGGCAAGGGCCGGCCTCGCCTCGCCGGATCGGCGAGGCGGCCGGCCTCGCCTCGCCTCGCCTCGCCCTTGCCCAAGCGAGGCGAGGGCCGGCGTCGCCTCGCCCGTGGCGGGCGACGGCGGTCTCGTCCGGGCGAGGCCAGGTGGCCGGTCACCGGCCAAACGAAGAAGTAGAAGAAAGAAAAGAAAAAAAGAAAAAAAGAAAAAAGGAAAAAAAGAAAAAAAGGAAAAAACAGAAAAAAATTTAAAAATATTAAAATATTATTAAATATTATCCTCGTCAGCGCCGACGTGCCACGTAGGACTAAGAAATTAATAAAATATGGCCACGTCAGATTTCCGGCGACCCAAATTGGAGTTGGCACTTAAGTGATCGTTTTTTCAAAAAAGTGGCACTTAAGTGATCCAAAACAAACTTTTGGCACTAAAGTGAGCGCCATACACAAGTTTTGGCACTTCTAGTGTTCTTCACCCGTGAATTGAGAATAAAGATGTTTTTCCTTAAGGGGTGTTATCTTACTATAGATACTTTTTGTAACCTCTTTAGTTTCTGGATAGCAGGAAATGAGGTTGTTCCTTTGAAAGCGAGTGCTTTTAGGCAAAACCAAAGGTTTATCCACCCGTACTAGTTGAAAAAGAGTTGGAAATAAAGTTGCATTATCATAGCTAGATTTTGGTCAGCACGAAAAAATAGAAGGGCCCTTTTTCTTCTTCGAGGTAGCTAGCTTCACCCATTCTGACCGAGCCTATAGTATCAATTGTTGAGGGTGGGTTTGTTGGAATAAAGATTTTTTAAGTATAATAGAAGGGTTCATGATATGGAGGAAAGCGATTCATAGACAGTACATAAATTTGGATGATCATTTTGACCAAATTTGAACTCTAAGGCGATTAGTTTCCACCAATTGACAAGTTACCAGAGACTTACACACTAAGCTTTGCTTCCACATAAAACTTAGCAATAAAAATTAGTCGCAAGCACCCGCCCTTTGCTTCTAATAGCTTAATCAGGTGGAATTTGTGCACGAAATTGATTGATCAAGCCATGTTACATCTACCATGTGCTCAATGGCTGTAATTATGATGTGTTATCTTCTGTAATTTTGTGAAAAGTCTTTGATTCTCATGCTTGCAAGTCTTAATAGACCCTTCACTTTGAAAAGCTTGTGCTATCAGAGACTCTATAGCTATACTTTCTCCTCAATTGAAAGAAAAGCTGCTTGTTGTGTAGTCCAATTTATGAGTTCTTTGGAGCTTATTTCAGTGTAAATCACTTTCATTGAAGAAAATCTTTATTTCCATCATGCACCAGTTTTCTTTTGTCTCCCTTTTTTCCTTATTTTTTCCAACATCTTTTGTTTCTTTTTAAACTTCAAACAGGTCCTAATTCCAATTGCAAATGGTTGTGAGAACATTGAAGTGGTAACTATAGTGGACATTCTACGACGAGCCAAAGTAGATGTGGTGGTTGCTTCAGTTGAAAGACATTTGCAGATTTTGGCATTGCAAGGCACAAAAATTGTTGCCGACAAGTTAATTGGTGAAGCTGCAGAAACAAGCTATGACTTGATCATTCTTCCAGTGAGATTTTCTTCTGGTGTTTTGCTCTTAGAAGTATCATGTTTTTCGGTTGTGTAAGAGTTACTCTTACAAGAGTTCTATGACTAATAACCTCGAAAGTAAATCAAGACAACAAACTTTTGTTGCTTTATGAGCAGTAGTAACCAAGCAAGAGCTCCAACAGAAAATTTTGGTTACTTGAGGTGGAGGAAGGTTGTGGAGAGGTTGCCTCTACCAAGCAAGGGGGTTTGGAATAGATCAGATTCGATTCGATTCCAGAGTGCGAGGGCAGTCTTGGGTTCTCCCCACTTGTGTCCTTCGTCCAATTCCCAAAGTCAACAGTGCTCTCTGCCCAGCCCAGGTATGCTCTCTTTCAATCCGCTTGCTCGAGGGGTCGATTGCTGCTCCCTCTCTCGTGTTTCCTTCGTATCTACCGTTATTTGCCCGAATATGGCTTCCCCCACTCTCCTATTTTGTCCGCTTCATTTCATTTCTGGATATGTTCGTGTATGGTTGGGCCCCAAGTGAAGTTAGAGGGTCGAATTTTCTAGGGCTTGCTGCTTCTTTCGGTGCTTCCTTAAGATCTTCGCGTGGGTTTTTTAGGTCTAGATTTAGCTGTTTGTAGACCGATTAGTTTCGTCCTATGTTTATGCACCCAGTAGCTGCGCTAGCACTTGTTGCAGCAAGCGTATTGCCTTGTCTTCCCTCGATGAGTTCTTTTGATGGGTGAGCTTCACGGCAAGATGATGCTATAAAAAGGGTTTTGCTACTCTTGCAGGGTTTCCTTAGTACTGTGGACTGACATCTTCAGTTATAAATTGCTTATGAACTGAACAGAGGCTAAGAGCCTGTGCTTTTTTGGGACTCGGAAATGTTGGACGGAGTTCAGAAGTTTCCTGGAATCATCGGTCTGAAGAACCATGATAACAATTTCTATGATTCGTCCCAAGCGTTTTATCACAAGCTTAGCAAGGGTTCCAACATGTCGATAGAGAGTTTTGGAAGCCTGCAAACGAGCAATGGTGGAGGGTCTGTTGTGATGTCCATAGATAACAGCAGTGTCGACTCTAGTGATTCCCATACTCGCATCCTGAATCACCAAGGCCTGCGACGGTGTGCCAATGACAATGATTCTGTTGCGCAGAGTGTGAATCACAGAGGAAGAGTCATGCATGCTTTGAGTGATGGTGCATTGGCCCAGGCTCTTATGGATAACAGTTCGCCAACCTTGGGACTTGAAAAATTTGATGAGTGGACTATCGATCTGAGGAAACTCAATATGCGCAAGGGGCTTTTGGAAAGCTCTATAGAGGTACTTACAATGGCGAGGAAGTTGCCATCAAGATCTTGGAGAGGCCAGAGAATGATCCAGAAAGGGCGCAGCTGATGGAGCAACAGTTTCAGCAAGAAGTCATGATGTTGGCCACATTGAAACATCCTAACATTGTCCGTTTCATTGATGGATGCCGCAAGCCAATGGTCTGGTGCATTGTTACAGAATATGCAAAAGGAGGTTCAGTTCGGCAGTTTTTGATGAAACAGCACAATCGGTCCGTTCCGTTGAAATTGGCTGTCAGACAGGCCTTGGATGTTGCTGGGGGAATGGAGTATGTTCACGGGCTTGGTTTGATCCACAGAGATTTAAAATCTGACAATCTCCTAATTTTCTCCGATAAATCAATCAAGATTGCTGATTTTGGGGTTGCTCGAATTGAGGTCCAGACCGAAGGAATGACACCCGAGACAGGGACTCTCCGTTGGATGGCCCCGTAAGATTATTCACTACTCTTCTCTTCAGGGTTGATCATATTTAAACTCAGCATGTCATGTGGGAGAATCTTAACTTGTTTGTTCCTATCTCTTGCTCATTCAAACTTTCTGTTTGGTTGTCTTGACGAAATTGGTGCTCCAGTATGCTTTTGCATTCTTGAGGCATTGGCACTTGCATAGCAGATTTATTCTTCAATTTCTGAATTTACCTTGTGTTTGGTTGGTTATTCTTTTTTAGATGAAACTCCCACAGAAAAATGCCTACCAGCAAACGTTATAAATTAGCTTTTATTAGGAATACACACTATTAAAATAGCATTTCAGATGCCAATTTGATGTATCCCTACCCCCTGCCACTGGAAGGCTGAAAGTCAAAGAAGGGGCATTAACTAAATTGATTTATGCTCTAGCAAAAATTGAAAAACTGTTTTATCCTTTTATCTAATGAGTCTTCTCTGGAACCTTTCATTCCTTCTCCTTGCCTCCCACTATTTTTTCAACACAAATCAACTAGTCCCTTATATATGAAGTGGCATTTAGTTAGGCCAATTCCTATATAGGAGTTTTAAGAGTAGCTCTAATTCTTGATCTTTAGCTAAAATGTTATGTACACGATTAACAATCACTTGCTGGATGGGTTTGCTTGCAAAGTTGATCCCTTCCACGAGAAGATTGTGATTTATCAGGTTATGCTCAGTTGGCCACCAAATACCGGACTAGACTTCCCTAAGATGTTGCAACCTGACCTGGTCTTTTTCCCCCCTGTGGCTTATTCTTCTATTGTGCGATGGATTTGGTGAGGCTAACGTCTGAAACTTTCGCAGTGCGACTGTGGGTGTTTAATTGGAGTTGGATTTGTATTACAATTCCTTATGTTAATTCTGTTGATTCGGACCACTGGGCCTTTTTTAATTCTTGTTGCTTAAATTTGAATCCATTTTTGTTGCATCTCAGTTCAATATGTGTCTGTAAGTAGGCGACCAAGTATGCTGTGGACCCTCTCGCCTCTACCATGTGGCTTGCAAGATGTGCTATTTAGCTGGCCGCATCTTTATTCGGCGATGTCATGTTTTCTTTAGTGGTGGGCATGGTACCCTTTTTTTCTTTAGTGGCGACGGTCATTTTGTATAGTGTTAGCATGATATCAATTGAAGTTTGGAAGTAAGGATGAAGATGACGGAGCGGAATTTGCTCCCCCATCATATTAATCGTGATATAATCAATGTGTTTTTTTATCTTACTCGTTACTGTTTGTTCCTGGTCATCTGCAACTTTCAAGGCAAACCTAGGTGACCAAGTAAAACTCCTCTTGCTGGAGAGGACATCATGACATTATAGAATTGTAGGAAAGGGACTCAAAAGGCCCTATTGGGCTTGATATGGCTATTGTTGCATCCAACATGTTATTGCACCGAATTCTGTAAATAACACAAGCTGGCATCTCGGGAGAGCTAATAGAAAGCACCATCAAAGTAGCTTTCTAGGTTGTGAAAAATCCTTTGTATATGTTCTAGTCTTCATATTCTCCAATTCTGTCTGTCTATCCTCAATTGCATTTCTTTACTTATTATATTCGTGCAGGGAGATGATCCAGCACAGGCCTTACACAGAGACAGTGGATGTATACAGTTTTGGCATCGTCCTGTGGGAGCTAATCACAGGAATGCTTCCCTTCCAAAATATGACAGCTGTGCAGGCGGCTTTTGCAGTTGTCAACAAAGGTGTCCATCCAATCATCCCCGCAGATTGTCTACCAATTCTCAGCGACATTATGACTAGATGCTGGGATGCCAACCCAGATGTCAGGCCTCCTTTCGCTGAAGTTGTGAGAATGCTTGAGAATGCAGAGACTGAAATCCTGACAACTGTTCGCAAGGCTCGCCTCAGGTGTTGCATAACCCAACCAATGACTTTGGATTGATTCTGAGTTCTTAGGAAATAAGGCCATGGTGACATACATGATACAAGGTCTTGAAGAAGAAGAGAAGGGCTCTGACGAGAAAGTTCTATTTAATCGTCTGCCTAATGGGTTTCTTATGATAAGGGAAAATCTATTGACTATATCAGTGGAAAAATGTGAATGTCGGGTAATACTTGTTTTTTAATTGTAGTCGAAGGTGTTAAATGTGTGTATACTTGTGTTATTTGCTTATACGTCACCGTGACTGTTAATTATGCTGTGTGCACTTGATTGAGGAGTCTATTTGATTTTTACTCAAGCGTCCCAATTTACCAGTGGCCAATCCAAATTCAATGGCATGATATTCATGTCACCACCAGTTGCGTCCTCTTAGTTTTAGGCATGACCGACACAACCAGGACCATGAAAGATAGTAAAGCAACTTAATATTTGCTAAATAGAATTTTCACGAGGAATCACAAGAACAATTGCATATAAGAGAGCGGTGTGGGAATCACAAGCGGTGCTTCAGATTTTCCTGGAAAAAAGGGGGAGGAGGTGCATTCATGCCCAAGAGGCCTACTATATGTTGTGGCTCTTAACCAGAAAGACCCGTCACCTATGGAGCATGTCATTCTGTATATTCTTGTCCAGATGTCTGGAGTCTTGTCCAGATATGTGTGGCAATCGTCTATGCGGAGATTAGAATGGTAAGCATGGAAGGATTTGAGTCCTGAAAGTACTTTCTGACATGGTTTCCAAAGTGGGATTGCTAGTACTATCATATGTCTACGTTGGTCTTATATCTAGTTCACCCTACCTGGTTGGTTACTCTTGTTTTCGTCAATCATATGAATTCATGGTACACATCTATGCCTATTATTCATCAATCTAATTTTCCATTTAAGTTGATTTGGTATCATTTTGGTACTCAACTACGCATATACCAAAAGAACAATTAATTGAGCTCGCTAGAACATTAGATAACTTCAGTGTTGAAGCATTCATCTGACAGGAGAAGGTTCGGAAGATATCAGACATTGGAAACGAGAATACTTACCAAATCAGTTTTTCAACTCGAGTATTAACTAACATTGGGGTGGGTGAGAAGAGGCTTCAATGGTGATTTTTGATGCTGTGACCATAGTGGTAACAGAGGATACTGGTGTCCTTGTCGTCAACTGTAGGGTTCTAAGTACAACTCCGACTCCTTCACTTTCAGTTTCAGCCATGCTCATCAACCATTTCAAGCCTAGGTATGACATTCACGGCTTTAACCTGGGCGGGATGGGTTGTGCTGCAGAAGTCATGGCGGTAGATCTGGTTAATGACCTTTTGGGTGCCCATCCGATGGGTGATCTACATTTGGTACGATAGCAATACCTCGACCTGCTCCTTCTGAATTCAATCCCCGGGTCGGGTCAACGGGTCGGATCTGGGTCGGGTCAACGGGTCGGATCTGGGTCGGGTCCGGAGTCGGGTCGGGTCGGGTCAGCCGGATTGACCCGGCTCGCGGAAACCCTAGCACGTGCGTTGCACGCACCTGGGAACACCCGCGCGTGGCCGCGTGTGTGCCGCCGGGGCTCTCCGACGCCCTGGCGCGTGGCGGTGCGTGCGGCCACTCCCGGCGGCCCCTGGTGGCCGGTGACCACTCATTTTTCTCGTCTCGCGACGATCTATCCATCTATGTGATTTATTCTAACATTCAACGGATGAAAAAAATTAAAATCACATACGAACAGTACCGGCCCGTTTCTCGACTATGGCGGCTCTGATACCACATGTTGGCCGGCCCGTATGGCTCGGCCGAGTGCCCTAGGATCACCATAGCGAGATATTAACGGTACGGTAAAAGGATGGATAGAATTTGTGCACCTGTTTTGGATTCCATCGGCCTGGATGCGGAAATGACGATGAACCGGTGCCGTAGATCTTCTCCCCTGTCACCCCCGAAGTCCCGGTGCTATGAGACCGCCTCAGCCAACTCACGGAAGCCTTAGGTGAGTTTGAGAGCGTTTGAGAGAGATTGGAGAGAGTTAGGTGCAGAGGAGGGACCTGCAGCTCTATTTATAGAGTTTCCAGCCAGGCCCTCTCATAACGGGCCGGGCCGAACTCGGCCCACACAAGCCGGGCCCATATCTGACCAATTAAGAAACCTCATACCCAAACTTATTAGACCAGACCCGTAAGCGGATAATAACAATCTCAATTAATGTAACCTACATTAGGAAAATGTTACATATGAAACTCCCGGGATTGGTGCAAGAGGTGCATTGAGGTCAAATGAGGGCGTGGGGGGTGGAGGAGCTTGGTCATGCTGAGTCTGACTTGGAGGTGCATAGTAATGATCTGTAGGGGTTGTTGACGGTGCAGCAGCCAAGGGGCTACGTGATTGTACAGGGGGCATTAATCCTGGAATATCGATGCAACCAGAGGAAGGAGATGGAGTATCTTGCTCTGACAGTTTGGACGGAGGAGCTGATGCAACAAGTGGTGGCAGTGCCGAATGCTCATGTTCTCTTGGTGAGGGTGGAGGCACGTTTGCTGTTGAATACTCATGCTGCGGAAGCAGCAGCGGCGGCGGTGGCATTGAGTACTGGTGTTGTGTGGGTGGCGGCGGCGGTGGCGGCAGTGTTGAGTATTGGTGTTTTGTGGGGGGTGGTGGTGGGGGATAAGCAACCATAATTGGCGAGGGGGCAAGGAGAGGTGTGTTAGGAGGGGGAATCGTTAAGTCCTTGTAGGGTGGAGGAGGAGGAGGAGGAGAGTACTCTTCAGGAGGTGTATACTCTGACGTTGGTGGGGGCGGCACAAGATGTTTGCTCCGTGAAACCTTTTCTGCTGGAGGTGGAGGCGGTGGTGTGAAGGTTGTTGAAGTGCAGCAGCCATAGGGCTAGGTGATTGTATAGGGGGCATTGATCCTGGAATATTGATGCAACCAGATGAAGGAGATGGAGTATCTTGCTCTGACGGTTTGGGGAGATGAGCTGATGCAGCAAGTGGTGTCCGTGTCAAATGCTCATGTTATCTTGGTGAAGGTGGAGGCAGGGGTGTTGTTGAATACTCGTGCTGCGGCGGTGGCAGCGGCAGTGGCGGCGGCGGCATTGAGTACTGGTGTTGTGTGGGGGGTGGTGGTGGGGGATAAGTAGCACGAATTGGCGAGGGGGCAAGGAGAGGTGTGTTAGGCAGGGGAGTTGTTAAATGCTTGTAGGTAGGAGGAGGAGGAGGAGGAAGAGGAGGAGGAGGAGGACGAGAGTACTCTTCAGGAGTTGCATACTCTGATGTTGGTGGGGGCGGCATAAGATGTTCGCTCGGTGACACCTTTTCTGCTGGAGGTGGAGGCAATGGTGTGAAGGATGGTGGAACTTAAGCCTGAGCATGAGGTGGACTTGAAGGAACAATGAGTGGCAACGGTGGTGGTGGGGGAAGACGGGTAACAGCTGAAACTTTGTGGGGGGTGGCGGAGGCTGGTGGGATCTCGTGGAAGGAGAAGACTGAGGATGGTGGTGGGGGTGAAGGGCCAATGAAAGAGCGAGGCGAGTGGGATTGAGCAGGTGGCGGTGGGCGAGGACTTCTAATTCTTGACTCTGGAGATGAAGCGGATCGATAAGAGCATTTCAACTGGCTGCACTTCACATGGCTTGCAGTTGCAGAGGAGCACTCTCTTGAAGATCTCTGGTATATCTTTCTAGGAATGCAATTTTGATGTCCATCTAGTGTTCTAATTTGAGCATTAGAACAAGTTGGGGCTTCCCCATTGAAATAGTTGAAAGAGTAGGTGAAGTTTTGCAGCATAGGCAGGCGGCACACTCTGCTTGGTATGATCCCAGTGAAGCCATTGTGGGCGACATTGAGCTGCTCCAACTTCTTCATAGCCCCAATGCCAGAGGGGAGTGGTCCTTGGAGGCGGTTGAAGCTCACGTCGAAGACGGTGAGTTGCTTGAGCAATCCCACCCGTGGAGGAAGGCACCCCGTGAGGTTGTCATTTAGCAGGATGATCTCGTTTAGGGTCTTGCCCATCTCCCCAATGTTACTTGGAATGCATCCCCCAAGGTCGTTGTTTGCCAACACAAGCACTGACACTGGCGACTTGCCCAGGTTCCGTGGGATGCCGAATCGGAACCTGTTGTCATTGAGGAAGCTGGCGTCCAGATCTTTGTCAAAGAGCTGGGAAGGCACGCCACCCTCAAACTCATTGTATCGGAGATCCGAGTACTTGAGGGATGGCAACCTCAGAACCACCTCTGGGAACTTGCCAACGAAGTGGTTGTTGCTGAGGTCAAGCTCTCGTAGCAGCTTCATGTGGCGGAAGGTGGAGGGCACGCTACCGCAGAAGTGGTTGGAGTTGAGGTGGAATAGAGCAATATATTTCAACAGGCCAAGCCCCGGAGGCAAGTGTCCAGCGATGTCGGCATGGTTAAGATCGATGCCGGCTACCACTCGGAGGGAAGAATTAGATGGAGAGGGAATGATGCCGGAGAAAGCTTAGAGAAGTAGGAAGCAACATAAGTGAGAACTGAAATGGAAAGGTCACTCGCCACTCATAAGTAATTAACCTAAGAGATAAGAGCAATACTCGCCATCCGTAGGAATCCATCCGAGGGATAAGAGTAAAACAAGAACTCTTTCTTGTTCTCAAGCTAAAAGCTCAATTAGTTTTTATCAAAATATCTCTCTTTCTGTTATTCGTCATAGCACGTCTATATAGAGCATGGAACAACCCTCCAAGCTTGAGTAATTACTAAGACTCTTTGGGAAGACAAAAGACTCAAAGAAAAGACAAACAACATTCACAGCCATAAATAAACAAGGACTTTAGAAACTTGAACAACATTAAGTAGACCCTGAAAATATACGAGAATTAAATTTAACCAATTGAAAGTCCCCATGACTTTACCATTTCCAAAATAGACAATTAATGGCCATCTAAGGAACCGAATAGCCTTCGGTTCGTTGTGATCGAAAAGTTGACTAGGAATGACAATATCAACAAGAGCCGACTTGGTATCGATAACATCGACAAGAGCAGACTTGGTACCGATAATATCGACAAGAACTCGATGTCTAAAAAATTCTCCGGCATCAGACGCTTCTAGTGCGCGTAAACTCGTCCCTGAGTTTTCTTAGTCTTCATCATCATGGTAGGGAGAAAGATCCGCAACATTGAACGTTGCAGAAACAACATACTTACCATGAAGTTCAATTTTGTAGGCATTGTCGCCAATCCTTTGCAACACCTTGAAAAGACCATCAGCCCTAGGCTTCAGCTTCCCGTGTTGACCCCGAGGAAATCTTTCCTTTGTAATATTGTCGCGACCTACCTCACGAGGGCCGAACTCGATGAAGCAGGTTTAGATGTAAGTGTTCATGAAATGGTCCGTATGGCACATCATAAAAGACGGCTTACCGAAGCGTCAATCTTTTGGTCATCCATACGGTCCATTGATCATGAACGTGGATTTTCCCTAAATCCAACCTCGCGTGACAGCGGATCGATTTTATCTTTTTTAGGAGTCGCCACTAGCCTAGGTTGGGGGTCGGCTAGAATACTTAATCGGAACGCAGGAGCTTCGTTTCGATTTCTATGAAAATCAGAGATTATGGGTTTAGGGACTACCTTACGTTAATATTTCTATTAACGCCCTTTCGGTACCGCTAAACTTATCGTGGTTGTTATCTAAGTTGTCATGCATTTGTTTTTTACCACTTTTCATGCCAAAGTCTTAATCTACTAGATGATCATGCATCTTGTTTTTTGTGTTTTCTTTTAAAATTCTAAACTAATCCTATCTTAGTCTAGAAAGGAAAGAAACAATCAATTGTATTGAAAGACATTGCGTAAAGTAAACAACCAAGGTATTGAAAGGACAAGTTAATTCTAAGTGCAAGAAATTAAAATCTGCAACTTGTCGGGTGTTTATTACAACACGAATTGAAAACCCGAGACATGATTGGGAATGAATGATTTGAATACAAATTGAGACCGGATCGGACATCGGTCTATCGCCTCCATCAATTGAATACAAATTGAGGCTGGATTGTCCATCGGTCTATCGCCTTGGTCTTTTACTATTTTGGACTATTCCCTCCATGGACCGCCTCTTGGGTGTCGGTGTTTACATCCATAAGATACATTCACGACAAACAATGCACAAAGGAACAACAAAGCAAGGCAACGATGCAAGTAATTCACTAATCAAACACGGGCCTCGAGATCGGCCGTTGCTTTTCATATATTTCAATTTACCTACCCACATAATCATCGGCAAAAGTACACCACAAGTGCCATAACTTGTGTACGGCGATCACTTTGGTGCCATAACTTTTTTTCGGATCACTTTGATGCCAAGTCGGAGGAAAAGAGACCACTTTAGTGCCAATTTGGCCGGAAATCTGACGTGGCATTTTTTATTAATTTTTGACGCTGACGTGGCTCGGCGGAGGCTGAGTCAGCGTGTACAGTCAGCATTTTTTATTTTAAATAATTTTTTCCAGCGTGTACAGTCAGCATTTTTAATTTTAAATATTTTTTTTCCTTTTTTTTTTCTTCTTTCCTTTTCTTTTCTCCCCTTGCCGGCCGGTTGCCGGTGGCCGGCCGGCCACCGGCGAAGCCCGGGAAGGGCTGGGCGAGGGCGGCCTTGCCCATGGCCGGCAAGGGGCGGCCTCGCCAGATCTGGGCGAGGTGACCCTCGCTGGCGATAGGCGAGGCCGGCCCTCACCGGCCCAGGGGAGGGCGACCCTCGCCGGCGTCGGGCGAGGGTCGCCCTCGCCCAGATCCGGCAAGGGCGACCCTCGCCCGCCTAGGCGAGGGCTTCCCTTGCCCAACGCCGGCGAGGGTCACCGGACGCCGGCGAGGGTCGCCCTTGCGATCCGGCGAGAGCGACCTCGCCGGCGCGTAGGGCGAGGAAGCCCTCGCCCGGGCGGGCGAGGGTCGCCCTCGCCTCGAGTCGGGCGTGGCGACCTCGCCCGATGCCGGCGAGGGTCGCCCTCGCCCGATGCCGGCGAGGGTCGCCTTCGCGCATTCGACGAGGGTGACCGTCGCCCGCCCGTGCGAGGGCTTCCCTCGCCGGATCTCGGGCGAGGGCGACCCTCACCGGTGTCGGGCGAGGGAAGCCCTCGCCCGGGCGGGCGAGGCTCATCCACGCCCGACTCAAGGGCGAGGCGACCTCGCCCGCCTGTGCGAGGGCTTCACTCGCCAGATCCGGCGAGGGCAGCCCTCGCCTGGGCCGGCGAGGGGCGGCCTCGGCCTCGCCTGTTGCTGGCGAGGGTCCCCTCGCCCAGATCTGGCGAGGCCGCCCCTCACCGGCCATGGGCAAGGCCGCCCTCGCCCAGCCCTTCCCGGGCTTCTCCGGTGGCCGGCCATCGGCAACCGGCCGGCGAGGGGAGAACAGAAAAAAAAAGAAAAGAAAAGAAAAAGGAAAGAAGAAAAAAAAAGGAAAAAAAAATATTTAAAATTAAAAATGTTGACTGTATACGCTGGAAAAAATTATTTAAAATAAAAAATGCTGACTGTACATGCTGACTCAGCCTCCGGTGAGCCACGTCAGCGTAAAAAATTAATAAAAAATGCCACGTCGGATTTCCTGCCAAATTGGCACTAAAGTGATCTCTTTTCCTCCGACTTGGCACCAAAGTGATCCGAAAAAAAGTTATGGCACCAAAGTGATCGCCGTACACAAGTTATGGCACTTGTGGTGTACTTTTGCCCTTAATCATCTAACATTATTTGATTAATGGTTAACGATAACGAGCTACCATTTGCATTCACAAAATGGCAACTTGTATCAGTTAACCCCTAAAGTCGGGTTCTAAGTGACCACCGTGGGCTATCCGCCGAACATGCACTGTGTCTAATATACATCTAGCAAACACATACAAGACAATGGATAATGCATGCATTTAGGCCCATGGGCCTTGTTTCTCAACTAATCAAGCAATGGGAAGTGGGCCTCATAAGAGGACTACTTATTCAGTTATTGTTATCAAATTCGAACCCTTTATGTTTAGATGTGATTAATCAGTCTAATGATGTTCAAATGAAGTGATTTAGGTATCATTAGAAAGGTTATGTCATGAGGATCAAAAGTTAAGAATACCACTTTTCTAATTCTCCACGATTTTCATGAAAATGACAAATTTACCCTCGGGGACAGTTTGGACCCAGTTTGAATTTGAATTCAAAAAATTGCGGGAAAAATAGTGAACGTTATCAAAACCCAGCCAAAATTTTTTGACAGTTAGGATTCTCTGTGTGTGACAGCTTTTATGTTTTGAATTTTCACTAAAAAAGCCCTCCAAATTTTTATAAAATTCGGTTTTCACCGAGGACTCATTTGCAAATCGGATTTTAGCCCGGGAGGATCTTATCTGAGACTTTTAGCAAATTGACTCCCTAAAAATTTCTATTAGATCCCCAAAATTTCCGGTCTATATAATAAGTCCCTAATGAACAACTTTGTAGTTTTTAGTTTTAGAAAAAGAGGACTTTAACTTTATCAAATTCGGAGAAACATATTTTGGATTTCAGAGAAAGGAAAATCAGATCTGAATACGGATACTGACTAAATCATAAAAATTAGTTTGAAAATAAAAATGAAATCCGATTTTGATGAAATTGATGTCAAAGGAAATCTCTAGATCTCAGTATGAACTTTCATGAAGAACACTTTTTCAGATTTTGAATACACGAATTTATAAAAATCGAAGAACACATGAAGGTCAGTCAGAAACTCATCTATCACAAGAACTGAGGCTAGATGACGTTGCTAATCGTCCTAACCTAACATGCTTGGAATTTTATGAAATTTTTACGGTGGACATATCTGAATGTTCTTGACAACTTGCATGAAGGAAGTTTTCTCAAATAACGAACTTAGAAAATCATAAAAATCATCAAACTGAGCAAGGTCATTCAGTATCATAGAAGAAGAGAATACAACATTCTCATTCAGTATCTCGACTTTCGAACGAGTTTTGACCTAGCAAACAATATCTGTTTAAGGCATGCAACATATCAAATTGAAGCTCGAGACGTATTCTACGACTCTCTAGTTCATCTTTTCACAAGATTTCGACATTTATGAGCTAAAATCAACATTTCAAGCATGCAGACCTCTCTGCACATGATTTTACAGGATACAATCCAAGAGTACCTACCTTGTTCAATGATGTTGCTGAGCTCAAACGAGTTATTTTGGCCACCAATGAACTTCGAAATGGCGCCAAATATAGCTCCCGATAAATATGTCACAAGGTAAGAAAATTGACATAAGATTGTGATCTAAAGAAGAAGAAATAAAATCAATCTTAAAATTGAACTCTGGTGACTTTTCCGGTGGAAGCCGGCCACCACAGCTTCAAGATGAAGTTGAGGATGCTGATCGCAAGTCTCGGACTACTTAGGAAAGATATCGAGATGCCGGAATAGCCAGAATCACTAGCAGGACAGATCACCGGCAGTAGCGCCGG